AAAACAAACTTCAAGTTAACAATGAACAGGGCATCAGCCTTGCACTCCAACAGTGTCTTGCACTATCTTGGGGATGATGCCCATAAGGGAAATACTTGGGGCTACACAGTGCGATGAAAAACAGATGAAATCTGGCTACAAAGTAGCTTTGCCTTATTATGGAAAGATTCACCAGGCTATGTTTCTGTAATTGCAGATGTTCTAATAATAATTTTAACCAACAAGTAAATAGACATGAAGACTAAAATTATGCAATAAATTCAGGCTTAATTATAAACTCTGAGTAGTATTTTAGACAAGTCTCCACATCAAGACTGTTCTTTTAAATGCCTATTGTGTCTAGTGGAAAAGCAAAACAAGCATGTGGGCACTTTGAAACTGAGGTTCAAAGAAGTCTACCAATACATTAAGGGGTAAAATAGAGTAAAAATTGCTTTTATTTTACAACACTTAACTGAACAAGAGGGAAATACAGTGCCCATATAGATATATGACATAGACTAGAGAGCGGACACAATAAAATGCAGTGATGAAATACATAAAAGAAACACTATGAATTGCCCTTTAGGAACACCTGAGAATAAAGAGATGAGCATATATCCAGCAGATAACCAATTACTATTTTTATGAACAAGTAAGTACAGTTTATAAGCTTGCTTCTCATGCTGTCTCTTCAACATACTTTCTGTACAGCTGTGTTAAAATGAGATTCCAGTTGCAAAAACCACATAGGTGTCAAACTCTTCCTTCACCAGCAATTTGTGCTGCAGCCTCAGATTCTCATAGCTGCTCAGTTAACACTGTATGCGTGAGCACACAAACACTCAGCCTTTGATGCCATTGACATTTAACTGTCTGTGTAAACTCAGTGTGCTTACATTTCTGTCTCACAAAACTACTTCTAAGGGATTTTTTTTCCCCAGCAGTTATGTCTAGTTCCCAGTATGAGTACTGGTGTCTCTTCTTTCTCTGTTCCTTTATACACAAGACAGTACTGCTTATCTGCAGAAAACCAGGCTACAGTAAGCCACGTTAAGACTAAGCTTTATAAGGCAGCTTATAAACCTTCACAGTTCTTGACAAGAACTGGATGGTTGACAAAAAAATGGATCAGGGATTTTAATGTAAAATCATGTTTCCTGGACAACAGTTTGAATGGGAAGTATGACACCTAGAAATGAAAAATGAGTGATATGGAATTCCTACACCTGTTTTACAACATAAAGTAGGGGGAAAAAATAAAATCAAGATTGCAAATTATTTTTGAATTTAAAAAAAAAACCTCAAACCAACATTAAAAAGGAAAACATTCAGAAGACCCCTAACAGCAGTGGAAGCATGTTCATTGTGATTACAGATATAACAAAGCTTTTAAATACACAAGAGGTTGAAATAAAATCTTGCATGCTACAACTCAAGGTCTCTAATGACACCATCACTTCGAACGACCTCCTAGTATCACTCAGTTCATAATTCAGCCTGGTTTTGCTTCTTTATTCTTACACAATCCCTATTTTTTAATATTAGGATTTTTTAAACCATGCCCCAAAGAAATCTTCTCTGTAACAAAGAGCACCATTGTCTATCCAGAAAACAAGTTTCTGTTGTCATCATAAAGGTATTATAATGATGAGTCTCTAATAGAAGAGCAACTACATTACTGTCTCACAATCACTCCTGGGGTTTCTTTCTGGAAATCTTGAGGTTTAAAATGGACATTTTTGAGAGTAACTAGAAAATGAATCACTGATCAGACTTTCAAGGGAAGTGGCAAAAAGTCTGGAATGTAGGGTTAGCCATATATTCCTGTGGATTATGCCATCTTTGTCACTGAACACTATCTCTCCCTTGACTTGACGCCTTTTTGAAGGGATCCCTAACATTCCTTGCCCTTCCAGTCTTAGTCTAAGAGGATTCATTTTTCCTTAGGTCCACAAGTATTCACATACAGTTCACTTGAGATTACCTTTGCTACACATAGGTGTCTCATAGTAACTTTTTCCGGACTGTTAAAGAGAGAGATATTAATATTCATACGCAAATCTAATTATAATTAAAACAGTTACTGAAAAGCTTTACTCTACAAAAAAGGCTTGAAGATTCAGCTGAACATCCATTGAAGAAATATCTTAAAGAAATATCTTTATTTCCTAAGTTTCACTCACTAGATGAAAATCACTGACGAAAACTGATCAGAAAATATACCTGCAGAGTTTGATCTCTAGAGAAGCTCCACATGATTTTCCCTCAGAAGTGCTGCAGATTAAGAACATGTAATTGAGCCAAAGTCTAAGTTTGAAACTACACAGCAGGGAAGTTCGCCTTGTACGTGTTGATGATCTCACTCTTGAAGTAAAAGAGATGGAAATCAATGTAATCATCTTTCTTTTTGCTCAATCAACCACCACGTTACTGAGTTACCTTGGCAGAATAGCTCAACTTTTAATAATAATTTAGGGGAGAAAAGCCAAAAGTTCCTGATCTGATGAGCAATATAGCAGACGAATATTTGAGCAAGAATCCTTTTTTTTTTTTTTTTTTTTTAATCTCCTGAAATGGGATTTTCATGCACATTCCTCTCCCTTTTAAAGTTCAGTTCTATGGCAGGTATCAGATTGAAGATGGTTCCTTCCTTCCTCTTCCTCTGACACAGGTAATTTCCACCTGTTTGTGTACCCGTGCTTTAGCAGTGCTTTCTACATGAAAAACTGCTTACTTAAAAATAAATAAATTATGTTTTAAATTATTATTATTATTTTTTCCAAAAAGTGCTTGATTTTTCCTTCTAGTAGACTACCACAGGGCTACTGAATACTGTAGCCAAACAGTTGAAATAAAAGAAATGGAAAGAAAATCTCCTCAATCAGTTCTGCCACTGGAGAGACAAATCATCGTACAGCACAATAACTTGCAGGTTTGTGAGGAGGACTTCCCTTCTTCAATGTAAGTTTGAGACTTCAAGTTCATTTCTGCTCTCTATCTAAGTCTGGACAACCTTCAAAGCAACAGAGCTTCTGGACAAAAGTTTGCTGCATTTGAGTGCCTAATTAATCTCCTATATTGATAATTAGGTTTAAGAACAGAAGTAAAACTCAGAAGTATTAAGCTAGTTCAGATTCCGTTTCAGTGGGACATACTGCCCACAAACACAATCTGAAATAAGTTCCACTTCTATTCAAAAGTTTAAGCATAGCTTTAAGCAGATTTGAGTCCTGAAGATATCAGATACTTACATTTTAGATTTCATATTTATCATTCTGCCCCTACAGTTACATGTCATTTTTTCAGATGTAAGCAAGAAATATTGCAATGCTATACACTAATTAACTCTCCTAATAAGACCATCTACTATGAAAGAGATACAGTATACATCTTTAAAATCGATATTTGGGTGCATCTTTCTATCTTGGTGCTATAGGATATAGTTCAAGATACACAAACTTAATGGATAATTACGACTGTGCCATAATCTTCCAAGAATCACTGGTTGCTTCTATTATTTTTGTCTTACCTGATTTTGTTCTACCTGAAGTGATCCTGATCAAATATTTCCTTATTATTTCACATACATTTCTGGCACCACAAAATCCTACTTACAAGCTAGTTCAGAGAGGCAAAGAGCAAAAATACATTAAGAAGTAAGCATCCTCACCATTTTCCCCATTGTTTTTGAACAGAGTTCTTATTCTAGAGTAAATGCAAGGCAGGGAACCTTCCAATAACTCATTTCCTGCAGAAGTCATTATGGTAGGCCATCAAAGAAGGGCAAGATAATTATCTATTTATTAGTTCAAGAACTGAGCAGGTACTCCCACTGCTTGACATTCAGTGCTTCACGTGAAATACGACAAACCCATTTCACAGTCTTTGAATATGATGACAAGTTGTTCAGAGCACACAATTTGTTCTGGGTTTACTTACCAGATTTTCCATTGCCAGGATGCACAGGAGTCGTCCCTGACCACCTAATATTTGACATGCTACAATGACTTACCTTCTTCCATGTTTATAGGCAAAACCAAAAGAGTAAGGCTGAATGACCACCTTTCAAGCTCAAGAGCTTTTCTTGCAAAACCACAAAACATATACGCAGTGCATTCATTCAATTCTTATATGAACATTGCACATGGCAGCCCTTGAATGTCATTGTAGAAAAGAAAAATACATTGCTTTGAAGAGATTATTTTGAGAGCTGTAAGTACAGTAAGATACTAACTGGTCCTCCATTTCCAAGTTGTGTTAAGAAAAAAATCAACCGTATTTACTAAAACAAATAATACACTGAATTCAAATTTGAAAGTTCTGCAAGCAGCCACAGTTACCCATAACCCCCCATAGCTACATAAATCAGGTTGCTTTCTAAATCTGAATGCGTTGCTGCAGAACTGAGGAATGACCTGGAGTTAAGACCACAACTCACCAACCACAGGTTTCACTAGGTTTACTACTGTCACACTATCACACTCTTTCAGTTTCTCCTGCCTTTACACATGCAGTGCAGCTATGCATAACTTCTTCAAAATTATACTTTAGGGTTCAAGACTGCTGGTAACTCAATGAAAGAAAAGTGACCACTTAAGAGATGATGAATTTCAAATAAATATACTGTTATTAAGCGATGACTTTCATGAACTCCACATTATGAAGCTATTCATAATATAATAAATTACATAATAAGTATATTCAACTGTCTCTTGAACAACAACTCAAGAACTTCCTTGACAGTTGCTTCACTTCATACTTATTTTCCCCCAAGATAGCTATTTTACCATTGAAGATCTACCAGCATTTTGTGATAGACAACACAGAGTATAATACTGCTTATAGGTTTGTTCTTCTCTTGATGAGACACAAAAGAGAAAAACAGAATTATAGCTGAAAACAGAACTAAAGCAGAATCAAAACAACTTATCTCAGTGGTATTTATTGTCTTTTACAAAAGCTAGTATTGATGGAAGATCAGCAGAGCAGATAAAAATCTTTGTTAGCAAGTCACTTACCATATTTATTGATGATACAGGACCAATGCTGTTGACGTAAATGTCAACATCAATAACTGTTGGTTTTACTGTGGAGAAAAAAAAAATATTATTTTGCAGACAGTGCAAGTAATCACTTTAAATACTTTCTTGCCCAAAAAGCAAAAGGTGGGGTTTTTTTAGGTACAACTACTGAGAAATATGGATTATGTATTTTTCAGGAAGATAAAGTTCTTTTCCTTCTACCCAACAACAAAAAAATGACATAAATTAAAACCTGTATCACTTTATCATCATGATCCTCATTTATCTCAGCAGTAATTTGCTAAAGAACCTTTCAGTGCTAAGCACAGTAGCTCAAAGTCAAAACCTAAGATGACTGACATGAAACTAGAAATAACGCAGCACATTCCTTTTTCTCTTAGTCTCAACACACAGGTTCTTTAGCCTGTTTGTTCCACACTGAAAAAATCTTTCCAGACTTTTGCATCTCATCTCTCAGCCCTGAAATCATCCTAACTTAGAGTAAAATCTCTATGAAATCTGATTAGCTAAACCTAAGCAACTCTTCTCCTTTCAATTTAGACTCATTCCCTTCAGTCCACGTTGCCTTTGCACTCACTCATCCGAAGGCTTTTGAATTTGATTTGGTTTAGTCAATGCACGTTTCTCACAAGGTCTTCTGTGTTTTCAGACTTCTAGTATTTAATAAGCCAAGACAAGCTCTGTACCTTTTCCTTTTGCTGAGGTCATTAGGATTAATCTTTCTTTTAGCATCTTTGGTGTCAGTGTACCTCCTGCGCATTATTCAGATAGCTGTTATTGGTGACACAACCTAATCCTAAATTAATGCCACTCTTACACTGAAAGGCACGTTCATTTTTTTTACTTATGCTGCCCTTTTTCTAACCCCACAGAGTATACATTAGGCTCTAAATAGAGATCTAAATTGGAGATTTACTTTCTCCAGGATTAACTGACTCAAAACTAAGTATAAAGTGTAAATGTTCTTCTAACCCGCACAGTCAGAATTGATGCAAACTTGGCCCTACTAGGCCAACAGCTTCTGTCAGACACCTGTGTTTCCCATAAAAGCACCTTTTCCTCTCCATGGTTTTCAAAAATCTCCAGAAAGAATTCAAACCACTGAAGTTTGGGAACTATGTTGAACTTGGACTTTTTTACACCTAACCCCTAAGACCCCTAGAATGAGGAAATGCAGGTACATCACTTAAAACTCAGAAAGCTTTCCTCTGGGAAACTACTGAGCAGGGAAGTGAGGAACAGTTAAATTCTGTGGTTTGTGGGAAGTTTATCTCTGGTAAGTAAAAGTCAATTCGTCTAAAGCCATCCAGCACAAAGCTAAAGACAGACAAGAATGTTCACATGTAAAGATAAATATTTTTTGCTTGCATCCTCCAAATTTCAGAATAATGAGATGCCAAGTAGTTTCAAAGTACTTGAAAAATCAAATGGTTCTAAAAAAAGTAGGCATGCTGGATTGTCATGTAAGACTTTGTATGCACGTATCATTAAGAAGATTATATCCCATGTTGCAAAAAACAGATGTGAAACTGGGTACAAATAGTGGTTAAAGATGATAATAATTCTCTCTATTTTATTGACTAACACATACTTCTTTGACTGCATATGGTCAGAACATCCAGGATTATTTAAGGTTGTGGTTTCAAACTGTCTGAAGTACTGGCTGATAAACTCAGATCTTCCCTGAAGCAAAGGAAAATTTGAACTCAGCTGAACAAGCTCAGCTGATTAAAGCAACTCTAATTGTTCCCAGCTAATAACTAAATAGGAGTCTAGCGGATTCTGGTAATGAGACTTGCCTCAAAATGCAGTGTTAAATGTCATTACATAGGAATTGGTAATAGTGGGGAACTACAGCTAGCTCTTTCACAGAGATAGAATACATGGAATAAAGAGCTCTAATCTTTCTAGGGTTTATGCACCTATCTAGCTGGAAGTTAAATGCTGAGGGGTTCTGGTGAATGTTAATGGCACTAGACTTAGTGATGCAAATTGGCACGCACTTGAATCTTGGCAGGATCAGGGACAAAATTCAGGACCAGAATGCAGTGCTTGGAATCAGTTTTTGTTTAATCATTGCAGTTAAATACATAAATAGATTATGAGATGATGATTTTTCCTGAATGTGCCAGGCCAAATTCTCTTATTGTACAAAAAAAAAAAAAATAATAAAAAAAATAAAATAAAAAAAAAATTAAGCACTGCTTGTTAATGCTAAAGAGAATTTTATCTTACTCACAGTAAAGGTCTAATCTTGAAACAGAAGAAAACTAAGAAACAGTTGTTTTTTCTGTCAAATTAAATCAGCATCTAGCCTCAGACATTCATAGTGAAATTCCATTTGAAACTAAATTAAAAAATAAATAGAGGTAAACTATTATACTACTACTACTACAAAAAAAAAACACTGAAAGTTTCTTTGAATTATTTTATTCTGCTTTCCTAGGCAGAGGTCAAAAATACAATTGTAATTTGATTGTATGGTAAATACACATTCAGATTTTGAAAGAAGATACAAAGGAGTATAGTTCTTGTTGCATATGGTCTTTCATGGATATAAATAGATATAAACTGGGAGGATCATCAGGTATAAATATTAGATTTGTTATCATAAGATTTTAATTCAAAATACTAACCATAATGAGGCAAAGATTTTAAGATTACTTCCTCCTAAATGCATTATGAAAAATAAAATAACTGACTCTTAAAGTTATCGGGTCTTATTAGAAAAAACTCACCCTCTAAAAATCTTCAAAATAAACTGAGCTTCATAGAAAGACATAAATAGCTACATTACCAGGGAGACTGGACCTGATGACCCACTGTGTTCCCTTTCAACCTCACCCCTTCTATGATTCTGCAATTTCCATGCCTGCTCAGTTTTTCTGTATACTACATGAATTTGTGACTGCTCAGTTCATGAAGGAATTCAAGCCACACATGGAATTGTTGAGCTGCAGATGGAGCTTTTTTTCATGCACTAGAAAAATCCTCACAGTGTTGTTGATTGAAAACAAAAGTGTTAATACCTCGGTAAAAGTTGGCAAAAAAATTACAAATAGATAGTCAGCTCCAGTAACGTTTTGATATTGGCATACACCCAAGATAGTTCTAAAGAGCTGTCAGAAACTTAGAAAAATTACTGGCAGAACCATGTAAATACAACATGCAGGAGAGCAATTAAAGGTTGTTAACGAATGTGCTAACCTTCTCAAAGTTCTTTGAAATAGTCTTTAATATATGGCAGTAACTTTCCCTAAAAGAAAATATAAACATATCCAGCTAATTGCAGTGTTATGCTGCTACACAGTGCTATCTAAGGTAAGCTAACTGCTTATTACCGTCATCTAATCTTTAAACCTGTTGGTTTTGATTGGGGAGTGGATTTATAAAGCCAACAAAACTAAGGTCATCTGATCCAAATGTCCTGGCTTTGAGACAGGCAGTGTTAATACACCAGTCAGCCTTGGAAGTATCACGTCGCAAAGGCACTACTGAATGAAAGCTGCTTACAAACTTTAGACAGTTCAAAACACATTTGGCCACAGGAGTCAGGAGTTCAACACTGCTTGCAAAGCTCACATAAGAAGACAGGTGAACACCTAGATAGTTAGGGTAAAGCAAGGTCAGGTATGTCTGGACAACAAGACACAGAAATGCTCAGAACAATGCCCTCATCATAAATACACATGCAGGACAACTGTAGGATTTGTTTAGTCCTGCTTTATAGATTTACACTGGTGAAATAAACAGTACCTGAGCTTGAATCTCATTAAATTCCATTAAGTCTTTGCTCTTGGACATAGGTAAGTTGATCATGTAAGTAAAAAACTTGACAGATAAATCAGGAGAATTTTAAAAGACTCCTGAGAAAACCAAAACAATTTCATGTCATGCAGGGAAAAAATGTGCAATAAGTTTGGTCATTTTGTTATGCTTATTTAGTACTCTAAATTATCATGTCCTTTTAAAATATCTTTTAATTTTTGATAGATCTCCACTATTCAGAATTGATGCTTATTTAATGAATGAAACCACTTTGCTTCCTTCAGAAAGCTTCCTCCACATTTGAAGTCTGTCCAAATAGCATTCATGTTCCTGCACAAGTCATAAATATTCAGAAATATTTTTAAAATTTTAATATTGAGAAATATTTTTTAGAAGCTCAATTAAACATAGTACATCTAACCGAGCTCTCATAAATTTTAAAATAAAATGAAAATTATGTTTTTCTGAGAGTTAACCTCAACAGATTTATACTGGTTTTATGCAAAACAGCAGTAGTAAAAACATTATGGATCAATACACACATATTTATAGAAGTAAAGCAATTAGCACTAGATTTTTTAGAAGGCACACAACCACATAGCAAACACAGTGCTATCTCTGTTTCAGAACTACACAACCACTTAAACTCTGCCCAAGTTCCACAAGACTTCTGAGTGCAAAAGACTAACAGGATTGGCTCTACAATAATGAGATATTTTTTGAAATTACCCTATAATGATATTTTACATTATCTCATTAGCACATAAATTGCTAATTTTAAATTGGGATAAAGCTCTAATAAATCATTACACAGTTATCAGTAACTGTAATAGTAGTGACTGTAGTGTTAATTTTTACTTTGCATAAGTGATTACGACTATTATTATTTTTCTACATGTCCTTACAGGCGATATCTATTTACCTAGTTATTCGTGTAAAACAAACTGCTGTGCTAACAAGTCAGTTCTCAAGGCTAACTATTTTCAGATGAAATACCTCTAATTTACAACAGATTACTACATTTGAAGAAAGACATGGTAACAAGAAGTGTTGAGTCACCATCCCTGGAGTATTTAAAAGATGTGTAGATGTGGCACTTAAGGACATGGTTTAGTGGTGGACTTCAGAGTGTTAGCTTAATGTTTAGACTCAAAGATCTTGAGTGTCTTTTCCAACCTAAATGATTCTGTGATTCTATTCTATGATGCAATGAAGATCATAGAATCATACAATCAGCTGGGTTGGAAAGGACCTCTGAGATCATCAAGTCCAACCC